AGCTTTACTTTAAAGCCAGGAAGGGCCTGAAGCCTGGGGCGGAGCTGCCAGTCCCAAGGACTGAAAGGGAAGCGTATGTTTTTCCCTGGGCCCGCCAATGGCCACCCATGGACCAATCAGCACACGCTTCCTCCCCTCTGAGGCCCATAAAAACCCCTGGACTCAGCCAGCCTCGAGGAGAGGACAGAGGGAGGATGGGATGACCTGCTGAGATGAGGAGCTACCCTCTCTGCTGAGAGCTGAACACTCATTGGAACACTCTGGCTAGGAGAGGAGCTGCCCACTGCAGGTGTCCTTTGAGCTGTTCTATCAATCAGTAAAGCTCCTTTTCGTCCTGCTCACCCTCCACTTGTCTGTGTACCTCATTCTTCCTGGATGTGGGATAAGAACCTGGGACCTGCCAGAATGGTGGGGCTAAAAGAGGTGTAACACAAACAGGGCAGGGCTGAAATGTGCCCATGCTCTCCACATTGTGGGCAACCAGAAGGAGAGAAAAGAGAAGAGCTGTGACCCTACAGGGACCCCAGACCTAGGAGCTCCCTGAGCCAGGGTGGTGACACCCTCTTTAGGGCTCTGAGGTGCCTGGTGTCTCCAAGCTTCTGGTGTCACCAGGTTCCCTGGTGTTAGCCATAGAAGCTGCTTATGGTACACCTGGTCCAGCTACACTCTTGCAGGGAGATGGTGCTTGTGCCAGTGCCTGGAGCTGCCTGCCCCCACTGCAGCTGGCATGCCTGGCTGTGCACAGTGGCCAGACCCCATGCTTGCTTACGCATACCTTGTTACTCCATACCTGGCTTGTCCTTGGCAGGTGTGGATTCAGGCCAGTAATGTAAGCCAAGCACAGCCTGCCAGGCTGAGTGGGCGGAAAGAGCCCAGTGGGCCAGAGCCAAACTTGGGCAAAGGTGCCACTGGCCACAGAGATTTCTGGCTGGCAAAACAACACCCCAAGGATCTCATAACACTAACAATATTTTTTTAAGGTGCTTGTTATCTTTAGTTCTCAAATTTTTAAAAATAAAACCTCATTTACCTTTAATTTGTTCATTAAAGACTGAAAGAGATGTGTAAAACTTCCTTTTATTGTTATTTTTCTATTAATTTTTCTTATGACTGTTTTAGCAATTTGTCTTTATACAATTCAATGTGGTATTGCCATGTTCCTGGAAATTTATGAATATGCTATTTAATATATCTATGGAGCATTATACTTTTCAGCAAATTAACAAGTCACTGAGTTTCAATTTATCTTGTAATCTGATTTTCCATATATCAACGTAGCAAACTTCAAGTTTGTTTCTGTTTGCTTTTTTGATTTATTTCTTTTTAGACCATGCCTAGATTTGTTTGTTTTTGATAATTTTCTCAAAATTTATCCATTTTATCTGTTTGTTTATTCATTTAATTATGATTATACTTTAAGTTCTGAAATACATGTGTAGAACATGCAGGTTTGTTATACAGGTATACACGTGCCATGGTGGTTTGCTGCACCCATCAACCCATCATCTACATTAGGTATTTCTCCTAATGCTATCTCTCCCCTAGCCCTCCACCCCCAACAAGTCCTGTGTGTGATAGTCTCCTTTTTGTGTTCATGTGTTCTCATTGTTCAACTCCCACTTAATAGTGAGAACATGCAGTGTTTGATTTTCTGTTCTTGTGTTGGTTTGCTGAGAATGATGGTTTCCAGCTTCATCCATGTCCCTGCAAAGGACATGAACTTATCCCTTTTTATGGCTGCATAGTATTCCATGATGCATATGTGCCACATTTTGTTTATCTAGTCTGTCACTGATGAGCATTTGGGTTGGTTCCAAGCCTTTGCTATTGTGAACTGTGCCTCAATAAACATATGTGTGCATGTGTCTTTATACTAGAATGATTTATAATCCTTTGGATATATACCCAGTAATGGGATTGTTGGGCCAAATAGTATTTCTGGTTCTAGATCCTTGAGGAATCGCCACATTGTCTTCCACAGTGGTTGAACTAATTTTCATTCCTACCAACAGTGTAAAAGTGTTCTTATTTCTCTACATCCTCTCCAGCATCTGTTGTTTCCTGGCTTTTTAATAATCACCATTCTGACTTGTGTGAGATGATATCTCTTTGTGGTTTTGATTTGCATTTCTCTAATGATCAGTGTGATGTTGAGCTTTTTTTCATGTGTTTTTTGGCTGCATAAATGTCCTCTTTTGAGAAGTATCTGTTCATATCCTTCACCCACTTTTTGATGGGGTTGTTTTTTTTTCTTGTAAATTTGTTTAAGTTCTTTGTAGATTCTGCATATTACCCCTTTGTCAGATAGATAGATTGCAAAAATTTTCTCCCATTCTGTAGGTTACCTGTTCACTCTGATGATAGTTTCTTTTGTACTGCAGAAGCTCTTTAATTAGGTCCATTTGTCAATTTTGGCTTATGTTGCCATTGCTTTTGGTGTTTTAGTCATGAAGTCTTTGCTCATGCTTATGTCCTGAATGGTATTGCCTAGGTTTCCTTCTAGGGTTTTTTTTTAATGATTTTAGGTCTTACATTTAAGTCTTTAATCCATCTTGAGTTAATTTTTGTATAAGGTATCAGGAAGGGGTCCAGTTTTAGTTTTCTGCATATGGCTAGCCAATTTTCTCAACATCATTTATTAAATAAGGAATCTTTTCTCTACTTCTTTTTTTTGGTCAGCTTTGTCAAAGATCAGATGGTTGTGGATGTGTAGTGTTGTTTCTGAGGTCTCTGTTCTGTTCCATTAGTCTGTTTATCTGTTTTGGTACCAGTACCATGCTGTTTTGGTTACTGTACCTTTGTAGTATAGTTTGAAGTCAGGTAGCAAAGTGCCTCCAACTTTGTTCTTTTTACTTAGGATTGCCTTGGCTATACAGGTTCTTTTTTGACTCCATATGAAATAAGTAGTTTTTTCTAATTCTGTGAAGAAAGTCAATGGTAGTTTGGTAGGAAGAGCACTGAATCTATAAATTAATTGTTTTGGGCAGTATGGCCATTTTCACAATACTGATTCCTGCTATGCATGAGCATGGAATGCTTTTCCATTTGTTTGTGTCCTCTCTTACTTCCTTGAGCAGTGGTATGTAGTTCTCCTTGAAGAGGTCCTTCACATCCCTTGTTAGTTGTATTCCTAGGTATTTTATTTTCTTTGTAATAATTGCAAATGGGAGTTCACTCATGATTTGGCTCTCTGTTTGTCTATTATTGGTGTATAGGAATGCTTGTGATTTCTGCACATTGATTTTGTATCCAGAGACTTTACTAAAGTTGTTTATCAACTTAAGGAAATTTTGGGCTGAGACAATGGGGTTTTCTAAATGTACAGTCATGTCATCTGCAAACAGAGACAATTTGACTTCCTCTCTTCTTGTTTGAATACCTTTATTTCTTTCTCTTGCCTGACTGCCCTGGCCATAACTTCCGATAATATGTTGAGTAGGAGTGGAGAGACAGGGCCTCCTTGTCTTGTGCCAGTTTTCAAAGGGAATGCTTCCAGCTTTTGCCCATTCAGTATGATATTGACTGTGGGTTTGTCATAGATAGCTTTAGTTATTTTGTGATACATTCCATCAATACCTAGTTTACTGAGAGTTTTTACCATGAAGCAGTGTTTAATTTAATGAAGACTTTTTCTGCATCTATTAAGATGATCAGGTAGTGTTTGTCATTGGTTCTGTTTATGTGATGGATTATGTTTATTGATTTGCATATGTTGAACCAGCCTGGCATCCCAGGAATGAAGCTGACCTGATTGTGGAGAATAAGCTTTTTGAGGTGCTGCTTGATTTGGTGTGCCAGTATTTTATTGAGGATTTTTGCATCAGTATTCATCAGGGATATTGGACTGAAATTTTCTTCTTTTGTTATGTCTCTGCCAGGTTTTGGTATCAGAATGATGCTGGCTTCATAAAATGAGTTAGGGAGGGGTCCCTCTTTTTGTATTGTTTGGTTTAGTTTCAGAAGGAATGGTACCAGCTCCACTTTGTACTTCTGGTAGAATTCAGCTGTGAATCCGTGTGGTCCTGGCCTTTTTTTAGTTGGTAGGCTAGTAATTACTGCCTCAAATTCAGAACTTGTTATTGGTCTATTTAGGGATTTGACTTCTTCCTGGTTTAGTCTTGGGAGGGTGTGTGTGTCCAGGAATTTATCCATTTCTTCTAGATTTTCGGTTTATTTGCATAGAGGTGTTTATAGTGTTCTCTGATGGTAGTTAGTATTTGTGTGGAATCAGTGGTGGTACCCATTTATCATTTTTATTGTGTCTATTTGATTCTTATCTCTTTTCTTCTTTAATAGCCTCGCTAGCAACTATTAAATAGACTGGCTAGTGGTCTATTTTGTTGATCTATTCAGAAAACAAGCTTCTGGATTCATTGATTTTTTTTTTTTAGTGGGCAAATCTCTTTTTAATTGCAAAAGATTTCATTTATAGCACATTCAATAATGAACCAAGAGGAGAGTAGCTGACTTTGGAACTTATGAATATATAAAAATCCCTTGCAGTACAAGTAGTCAAGATAATAAGTGCATATGAGGAAAACAACCTTCATTTTTCTGAAAATGTTTGCATTTTAAAAGGTGACTAGGCATAATTGGAAGTTCGAAGCAGTAGAATGTACTTTGCAGGGAAAGGAGGAGGAAAACCCTTTTCCATGTTGTTAAGCAAATGTGTATCAAATCTATCCCAATTCCACTTGATAAAGTCAGTTGGATGACCTCCTTGAACCAGGCTAGGGCAAAACACTTAGTAAAAGCGGGTCCTGGGTAGGGATGTGAATCCAGGAGAAGAGCACCAGATCCCATGCAGCGCCAAACACACGCATCCCGCCCTCTAACCAGACGAGGCACATTGCCCCATGTCCCTGGACCCGGATATGCAAGAACAGTCATCAGATGGTTACTGCTCCCATGGCCTAGTGCTTTCTAATAGTTTTAATTTAGGCCATGGAGAAAAATCCTTTACCACCAAATGCAAACTTAAGTCATAAAGGATGCTCTGGGGGAAGTTCTTGTAATACATACATAAGGACTTCTATTTACCTAAATAGAACAATGATTACACAGTTGACATTCCTGTTTTCATAAGGTTTTATTTCCTACACTGGAATGGCTTAAGAAAAAGTTGTCTATTTCTGGTTTTATTTTACACTTTCAAAATAGAGGAACAAAGAAAAAAGAAGTGACTAACTGCCCAACTTTGGAGTCCAGCAGGTACAAAAGCGAACTTCTCTGACTCTGGAGCCATCAGATTTGGGGGAAGTTTCAGTGCCTAGGGAAGGTTAATGAAGCCCATGACACCCCGAATCCTACAGAAAGAATTCTACAGCTCATCTATCACAGTGTTCTAGTAAAGCATATGCTAAAAAGTACAGGTTTCAACCTAACATCTACATTTTAAAAAGTGGCATTTCAGCAACATGCTCAGAGAGCGCATCGCAAAACTGAAATAACAGAACTATCGCTCAGATGTCGAAAAAGTCAAGCTGCTGCCCTCGGCTCCGCCCACTTGAAGGCTTATGCAGACATATAAGGTGGCGGAGGCTCCTTGACAGCCCCATTCACAGTGACATCATCATACGGGCGTAGCAGCACCATGTTGTCCTTGCTGGTAACCAGGACACTGGAGGACTTCCTGCGATTGATGTATCGGTAGCAGTTCCAAACATAGCTAATCAAGTAACCCTGAAAAGTCAAGGTAATATTAATAAACAGAACAATAAGGACCAAACAGGTAGGATTCACTGACATGACATCATCTCTGTAGGGATAATTAGGAGGCAGTTGTCCTATGTATTCCTGAATGGAGTTTGGATAAACAAGCACAGTGATTGCTACCAAGGTGTTCAGGGCAAAATCAAAGATCTGGTAACAGAAGGATGGGATAATCCAGGCTGCGTGTTGCTTGTATGCTCCTAAGTAGTGATAGCACATATCAGAATCATGAGAAGAGAAATCCCAATGGCAATGCACATGTTGGCATCATCCATGAACTCAAAGTCACTGCCCAGTTCAGAACTTGAGAAGCAATACTGATCCGGATCAGCTAAAGCATTCAATAAAATCAACAGTACCAGGCATTGATGATCAGGTACCAGGTGCCGTGCCAGTGTGGACAGGGCAGCACAGGCAGCAGCTGTTGGAGTAGAGCTGTGTCCAGGGCGCGACCATCTTCATTGCTGTGGGAGCAGTGGCGCCAGTGGCTCGTCAGGGCCTGCTGCGCTGCTGCTGCCAGCTCCTCGTCTCCCGGCCCACTCTACCGCGTGCCCGCAGGCCTCCTTCCTGGATCCCCTGAGAGCTGCGAGAGGCTACCGCCCGGGACCCTACGATCTGAAGGCAGTGGCAGCCTCATTGATTTTTTTAAGGGTCTTTCCTGTTTCTAGCTCCTTCAGTTCTGCTCTGATCTTAGTTATTTCTCGTCTTCTGCTAGCTTTCTAATTTGTTTGCTTTTGCTTCTCTAGTTCTTTTAAGTGTGATGTTAGGGTGTTGATTTTATATCTTTCCTGATTTCTCCTGCGGGCATTTAGTGCTATAAATGCCACTCGAAACACTGCTTTGGGTGTGTCCCAGAGATTCTGGTACATTATGTCTTTATTATCATGGTTTCAAAGAAATTATTTATTACTGCCTCAGTTTCATTATGTACCCAGAGTGATTCAGGAGCAGGTTGTTCAGTTTCCATGTAGTTGTGCGGTTTTGAGTGAGTTTCTGAATTCTGAGTTCTAACTTGGTTGCACTGTGGTCTGAGAGACTGTTTGTTATGATTTCTGTTCTTTTGCATTTGCTGAGGATTTTACTTCCAATTATGTGGTCAATTTTAGAATCAGTGCAATATGGTGCTGAGAAGAATGTATGTTCTGTTGATTTGGGGTGGGGAGTTCTGAAAATGTCTATTAGGTCCACTTGGTCTGGATAAGGGTTCAAGTCCTGAACATCCATGTTAATTTTCTGTCTCGTTGATCTAATATTGACAGTGGGGTGTTAAAGTCTCCCACTACTATTGAGTGGGAGTCTAAGTCTCTTTGTAGGTCTCTAAGAACTTGCTTTATGAATCTGGGTGCTCCTGTATTGGGTGCATATACGTTTAGGATTGTCAGCTCTTCTTGTTGCATTGATCCTTTTGCCATCATGTAATGCCCTTCTTTGTCTTTGTTTACGTTTGTTGGTTTAAAGTCTGTTTTATCAGAGACTAGGATTGTAATCCCTGCTTTTTTTTTTGCTTTTAATTTGCTTGGTAAATCTTCCTTCATCCCTTTATTTTGAGACTATGTGTGTCTGTGCACGTGAGATGGGTCTCCTGAATACAGCACACTGATGGGTCTTGACTCTATCCAATTTGCCAGTGTGAGTCTTTTAACTGGGGCATTTAGCTCATTTACATTTAAGGTTAATATTGTTATATGTGAATTTGATCCTGTCCCTATGATGCTAGTTGGTTATTTTGTCCATTAATTCATGCAGTGTCTTCACAGTGTCAATGGTCTTTACAATTTGGTACATTTTTGCAGTGTCTGGTACCGGGTTTTCCTTTCCATGTTTAGTACTTCCTTCAGGAACTCTTGTAAGACAGGCCTGGTGGTGACAAAATCTCTCAGCATTTGCTTGTCTGTAAAGGATTTTATTTCTCCTTCGCTTATGAAGCTAAGTTTGGCTGGATATGAAATTTTGGTTTGAAAATTCTTTTCTTTAAGAATGTTGAATATTGGCCCCCATTCTCTTCTGGCTTGTAGAGTTTCTGCAGAGAGATCCACTGTTACTCTGATGGGCTTCCCTTTGTGGGTAACCCAATCTTTATATCTGGCTGCCCTTAGCATTTTTTCCTTCATTTCAACCCTGGTGAATCTGACGATTATGTGCCTTGGGTTTGCTCTTCTTGAGGAGTATCTTTGTGGTGTTTTCTGCATTTCCTGAATTTGATTGTTGGCCTGCCTTGCTAGGTTGGTGAAAAGTGTTTTCCAACTTGGTTCTATTCTCCCCATCACAATCAAATATAGGTTTGGGCTTTTCACCTAGTCCCGTATTTCTTGGAGGCTTTGTTCATTTCTTTTCATTCTTTTTCTCTAATCTTGTCTTCATCCTTTATTTCATTAAGTTCATCTTCAGTCACAGATATCCTTTCTTCTGCTTGATTGATTCGGCTACTGATACTTGTGTATGTGTGGCGAAGTTCTCATGCTGTGTTTTTCAGCTCCATCAGGTTATTTATATTCTTCTCTAAACTGGTTATTCTAGTTAGCAATTCCTCTAATCTTTTTCCAACGTTCTTAGCTTTCTTGCTTTGGGTTAGAACGTGCTCCTTTAGCTCAGAGGAGTTCATTATTACCTACCTTCTGAAGCTTACTTCTGTCAATTTGTCAAACTCATTTTCTGTCCAGTCTTGTTCCCCTGCTGGTGAGAAGTTGTAATCTTTTGGAAGAGAAGAGGTGTCTGATTTTTGGAATTTTCAGCCTTTTCCCACTGTTTTTTCTCATCTTTCTGGATTTATCTTCCTTTGGTCTTTGGTGCTCGTGACCTTTGGATGGGGTTTCTGTGTGGACGTCCTTTTTGTTGGTGTTGATGCTATTCCTTTCTGTTTGTTAGTTTTCCTTCTAGCAGTGAGGCCCCTCTGCTGCAGGTCTGTTGGAGTTTGCTGGAGGTCCACTCCAGGCCCTGTTTGCCTGTATCACTAGCAGAGGCTGCAGAACAGCAAAGATTTCTGCCTATTCCTTCCTCTGGAAGCTTCTTCCCAGAGGGGCACCTGCCAGATGCTAGCTGGAGCTCTCCTGTATGAGGTGTCTGTCGACCCCTGTTGGGAGGTATCTCCCAGTCAGGAGGCATGGGGGTCAGAGACCCACTTGAGGAGGCAGTCTGTCCCTTAGCAGAACTTGAGCACTGTGCTGGGAGATCCACAGCTCTCTTCAGACCCAGCAGGCAGGAATGTTTAAGTCTGCTGAAGCTGTAGCCACAGCCGCCTCTTCCCCAGGTGCTCTGTCGCAGGGAGATGGAAGTTTGATCTATAAGCCTTTGACTGTGGCTGCTGCCTTTCTTTTAGAGATTCCCTGCCCAGAGAGGGGGAATCTAGAGACGCAGTCTGGCTACAGTGGCTTAGCTGAGCTGCGATGGGCTTTACCCAGTTCAAACTTCCCAGGATGCTGTTTACACTGTGAGGGGAAAACTGACTACTCAAGCCTCAGTAATGGCAGATGAGTGTCCCCCCTACCAAGCTCGAGTATTCCAGGTTGACTTCAGACTGATGTACTGGGAGCAAGAATTTCAAGCCAGTGGATCTTAGCTTGCTGGGCTCTGTGGGGGGTGGATCCGCTGAGCTAGGCCACTTGGGTTCCTGACTTCAGCCCCATATTCAGGGGAGTGAAGAGTTCTGTCTCTCTGGGGCTCCACGTGCCACTGGGGTATGAAATAAAACTCCTGCAGCTAGCTCAGTGTCTGCACAAACAGCCACCCAGTTTTGTGCTTGAAAGTCTAGTGGTATAGGCACTGGAGGGAATCTCTTGGTCTGTGGGTTGCAAAGACCGTGGGAAAACCATAGTCTCTGGGCCGGGGTACACAGTTCCTCATGGCACAGTCCCTCATAGCTTCTCTTGGCTAAGGGAGGGAGTTCCCCAACTCCTTGTGCTTCCTGCATGAGGCAACACCCCACCCTGCTTTGGCTTACCCTCTGTGGGCTGCATCCACTGTCTAACTGGTCCCAGTGAGATGAGCTGGGTACCTCAGTTGGAAATGTATAAATCACTTGCCATCTGCATTGATCTCACTGGGAGCTACAGACCGGAGCTGTTCCAATTTGCCCATCTTGCCTAGAAGCCTATTTGTTTATTTATTGAGACAAGGACTCGCTTTGTTACCCAGCCTGGAGTGCAGTGACATAATCATGGCTGATTGCAGCCTCAGTCTCTTGGACTCAGGTGATCCTCCCACCTCAACCTCCCAAGTAACTGGGACTACCCGCATGTGCTGTCATGCCCAATTAGTTTTCACATGTTTTTATTTTATGTAGAGATAGGGTCTCACTATGTTGTCCAGCTGGTCTTGTACTCCTGGGCTCAAGTGGTCATCCTGCCTCAGCTTCCCAAAGTGTTGGGATTATAGGCCTGAGCCACTGTGCCTGGCCAGTTTTCCCATTTTATTACAAATGTTAAACTTTTGGCTAATACTAGCTATCAAAACTAATGTTTGTTTTTATTGTGTTATCTTAGTTTTTTTCCCCTGTACATCTATCACTCCTCCTTACTTTTACATATTGTTATATAAATTATGTTTTTTTAGTATAACTTCCTCTACTTGCAATATTTTCACTCTATTTTAAATTCTACTAATGATAATGTTTGTTTATTGAATATTACTACAACTTACAAGAAACAGATTTCGATTTCCAGAGTAAAACGGTAGATACTGATTCCTCTTTTTTCGAGGTAATAATATTAACACAGTTTAACTGCTTCTTGTAGTTTTGTTGGTACATTTTGAAATATGATATGTTGTTGTTAAGCTTTACTGTCTCCATTATTTTCTTTTAAGAAATATTTATAATACTTAGATTATGTTTGATAATTGTATTAACTGTATTTTCTTATACTTAACTCTATGTTTAGATGTTTTTAATGTTAGTCCTTTTATGTTGGAATGTCCTTTTATTTTGACTTCCTTGCTTTAAGGAATCTCTCATTAATGGTAGTAATTTTTGAGTAAATATTTAGTGGATAGTTGGTAAAGATTAATGAGAACTTTTCTATCTGTTACATTAATGAGAACTTTTCTATCTGTTAACGTTTCTTTTGATACCATGACACACAAATTACCTAGGCATTTAATTCTTGGCAATGATTTTTTTTCACTGACAATCTATAGATGTATGGAAATTTTATGTTGTGAAAACACAGTCTGAGAAGGGACCAAAATTATTACATTTTCCCCCATTCTTATGGCATCCCTTTTTAAAAATAAATTATTTTGAAATAATTTCAGACCTGTTGCAAATAGTATGGAGAATTCCTGTGTACCCTTTATCTAACTTTTCCAATGGTCACATCTTATGTAACTTTAATACATTATTAAAGTGACATTGATACAATCTACATAGATTATTTGTTAATGGGCTTCATTTCTTTGTGGTGAGGACTTTCATTCTACCTTTATTAACTATCAACTAAATGAATACATATAGCTTATTATCAAATAAGTGTATTGTTTTATAAATGTATTTGTCCCCTCTTTTTTTTGCATTCTAAAATTAACTTTTATGCATACACTTATCTCCTCAACTAGAGTATCAGTTCTCTGAGGGCAAGGAACTTGCTTGTGAATATCTTTCACAGTAGATAACATCTTTGTTCAATATCAGGATGAGCTACAGTTCCCCATTTCACGAAGAAACTGCAATTTTGATGACTATCCCATTAAGTTGCTAAGAATGGCAACTACTGTGTGAAGCTGGGATCATGCTGGCTGTTTCTGGCTATGGTTAAATGTCATTGAGGAGGAAAATCTTTGATACAAAATGGAAATTGTTAGGAAGAGCATTTGATCAGACTCTGTAGTGCAGTGTGGGGAGCTGCCTGGCTTTCTGAATTACTGCCACCATATCTGTTGCCTCCAAGAACCCATCCTCTATCCCATGGAGCCCTCTCCAGTGCATTTTTGGACTAATTCCCTTAGATAATGGATGGGTGCCTGCCACTAAATTTAAATGGATATAACGTAGTTCTTTACTATTGTCACTATGAAATGGAAACTCTTAGAAGGTCAATAGATAAGGTAAGCCTAGTCTGACATTGTCAACTGATCCATGGGCTTGTTTCCCAGAGTGAACAGCAATTTAGGGAGGAATCTGAATGAAGGCATAGTCAAGGATAGATTCTTCTCCATGCATAGGAGGGGCATGCTGTAAAACAGATGTTCATTACAAAAAGTTAATGATAAAATGGTCAAAATTGTAAATGGTAAAATGATAAAATTACAGCATGGTAAAATTGAGTGTGGCAAGGACATGGAGCTAAAAGTCGGAAATTCAGTCTGTTTCCCAGTTTACCGTTGATTCCCATGATTATAGGAAAATCACATAACCTCTGTAGGTGACGTATGCAAAATATAAAATGGGGTGGGGGCAATACGGATGTTAAAATTAACACAGTGTTTTGTAAAATGGGTCTGAATATTACTTACATTGGAACTTACATAGTGTGTCAAAATGCTGATTCCTGGGCCTCACCCCTTACCTACTCAGTCAGAATCTACAGGCATGGGAGCTGGGACTCTTCATTTTAAACAAGGACCTCAGGTGATGTGTATGTATACTAAAGTACAGGAATAACTAGATTCGTTCACACATAAAACTTCAAGATTTAGAATGCTGTAATTCTAATAAACATTTACTAAATGCTACAGATTTTACTTAGAAGGCACAATTTGATCTTTGTGTTTGTGGTAATCAGTTTGACCCACACATTTTTTCTTTTCAAATACCATCTTTGTGATTTTAGGAAGCATGGAAATATTGGGAGTCCACTCAAACAGGTGCAACAGGATGGCGTTTTTATGAATTATCCATGGTCTAGGGTCTTTTCCTAATTATGGTTCCACCAGAAATTTGATACAATCTTAGTTTTGCCTTAGAATTTAAATTCTGGAAAAATCATATGAAACAGTGTATTCTACAAAAAAAGATGCTTTTCTAGAAACTGAATTTCTCATGTGCACCAAATAAATTTCTTTCCCTTGAACAATCTGGATGACCAATGACCACTCCTGTCCTTCTGAAACCTGTGTCTCCAAGCAGGTTTGGCCAGGGAACAAGTCTGCCTGTTGC